TTTAATTATCAAATCTCAATGCAAATATTTATTTATTGAATTGACGTAAAATTATTTTTATTTTAGCTGAAAATGAGGGGAAAAATAGTTTTATTTTTATTATTAATGATCTTTGAGTCAATAAAATATACAAATAATTAAATAGTTAAAAACAAACAGTAATTATATATTACATTAAATAATAGCATAAATGTTTCGATGTTAACTAAAGAAGGACTTTTAATAATAAATATTTTAAAATTGTATAATATATATATGTGTTTATATATTATGTAAGACTATAGTTAAAACATTGATAATTAATGAGTTTAATTATAAACTATTTTTTCTTGTTTTTTATAAATATATTTTATAACAATAAACTACTGTATGTTTGGTAACTGATATGGAAATTACTTCAAAAAGCATTATTCAATTCAATGTTATCTTTGCAAAAATTTTTGTTTCACATTATAATTTATAGTCCAATAGAGTAATGATAGTAATGGTGTGTCTAAATAAAACAGTTGTTTTAAGTGAAAATGCAGTAATAATAATAATATGACTGAAAAAAACAACTTTTATACAGTGTATATACAATATATATAGAAAACAAATCCTTTTTAGTTAAACTCATTAGTTATCTCTTTACTCATTAATTTTGAGAAAAGTGAAAACAAAGACAAACTATTATAGATTTTATATATCTGTGCGATAAGTAAGTCAAAAGCCAACTCACAAAACAATCAAAAATAATAATAATAATAAAAATATGATAATAAATTGAATTGAGTTAAAAAAAACACGGCGTCTATTATTAGTATCAATATTATACTGTAAACTACGACCGGCGCATCCTATTTAGAGATTGTTAGAGAGAGAGAGAGATAGAGAGAGAGAGAGAGAGAGAGAGAGAGAAGATATATATATATATATATATATATATATATATATATATATATAGAGAGAGAGAGAGAGAGAGAGAGAGAGAGAGAAGAGAGAGAGATAGAGAGAGAGAAAGAGAGAGAGAGAGAGTAAAGGCCATAATACTGTATAAACCAATAACTACTGTGTGCTATAAATGGTAAAAATAAATGGGCAATTCTATAGTTTGGCACTTAGTTAATGAACAAACACATAACACAAACGATTGAGCATCAGCTCCGGGGTCTAAATTGTGTGTACATCTGACGCCCAGTTAGTTTTTGATGGAGAGGTTCACTGGAAATATCGATATCCGTTTTATGCCAAACCACTGAATGCCAGTCACTAAACAATTTGTTTATTGATTGCAATTCAATCGATTTTGATTATATATATATATAGTATATAAATTATAGCAAAGAATAAAAGATAAATTTGTTATGCAATATATAGAGTGACCAAAAAGTTAAAATTATAAATCGGAAAATTTTTTTGATAAATAAATTATTAGTTATTAAAATTTAAATTATTTAATATTTTATATTTAGTGTATATTTACTACAAAATACATCAATACTACTAAATATTGTAATATTACTGCATTTAAATATATATTATTAGATATTTGACAACTTATTGTTATGAAAATTGTTATTTTATTCATTTATATTTTATTGATATAAAAAACGGATCACATATTTAACCGATGGTCACACTATAGTATAGTAATGGATACAATACATAACAATCTTATTGAATGCTCGGCACACATAACAAACATTAAGAATATGTGACGATTGATATGGCATTCATTGGCACCAAAGATAAGGCAAATATAACATAACATTTAGTTTATTTCCAGACTATTAGTTAGTAGTAGTAGTAGTAGTAGTAGTAGTAGTGATAGTATAGTACACAGTATTATATTATTTGTAGTATTAGTTACACAGACATTCATTTAGATTTTTTGTTAGTTTGTTTGTTTGGGTCTCTGAGCGATAAAATCAAGTAAAATAACAATAAAAACCAAACAAATTCTCGACACAAGAATTAGAAATTATTTGTTTTGCTTCAGTTTTTTTTTGGTTTATATTCTGTATATAATAAATATAAATATATATTGTATTTCACAATAGTTTGCTTTATTCTCTATCTATTTATCTCTCTCTCTCTCTCTCTCTCTCTCTCTCTCTCTCTCTCTCTCTCTCTCTCTCTCTCTCTCTCTCTCTCTCTCTCTCTCTCTCTCTCTCTCTCTCTCTCTCTCTGCACTCCTAATTAACAGCAAACAGAAATAAAACAAAACAATAGGTTTTCATTGCAATATTTACTTTTATAAAAAAATTTTAATATTTAACAACAATAAAACCAATTTATGGTATTTTCTGATTTATAAATTTTGTATTTAAAATACTGTATGTTTGTGATTGTGTTGTTGTAAAGGAAATTGTTTTTTCAATAAAATAAAAATATAAGACTTTACTGTATTTTTTAATTTAAAATTTTTGATAAAATATATCATTTTATGTGTTGATGTAATAAATCCAATGTTTGTTTAAAATGTTTTGCTTTAATTTTTAAAGTTTACTTTTAAGATATAATTATATAAAATATAATACAAATATTTTTTATAGATTATTTAACTCATTGAAAGGCCGTTTACTTTTGATTATAACTATAAAGTGTATATAATAAATTGATAAAACATAAAGCCATGTTTTGTCTATTATTTTAGATCCCTGTCCTCGCATTAATACACCCAAAAAACACTGTGATTTTTCAAACAGCACAAGTAGTTTATAGCTATTATTTTTTAAGTCAAACTTTCTGAGAAAGAAACACATAATAATAAAAAAAATAAAGTCTTAAACTGAAAACTAGTAGATAAGGCAAACAAACAACAAATAAATGAAAAAATATTTTTGTTGAGTATTTTTTTATACTTTGTGTTAGTAATGATAGTAATGGTCACTAGAAATTCAATGAAGAAGAATAAGACTCAAGAGATTCTTTCACTCAGACACAAGAGACAGACAGACAGACAGACAGACAGACAGACAGACAGAGAGAGAGAGAAAGAGAGAGAGAAGTATTATATTTTATTGACTCTTTCATTACATGTGTGTTCACTCAGTCCCAAACCCTATAACCTCTGGTGCTCTATATATATACTATCTCTCTATCTCTTTCTCTCAGTCTCTCTCTCTCTCTCTCTCTCTTTCTCTATCACTAACTCTCTCTTTCTCTCTATCTCTCAGTCTCTCTTTCTCTCTCTCTCTCTCTCTTTCTTTCTCTCAATCTCTCACTTACTTTAGTTTTCATGGAATTATTTGAATCATTCGATGCAATAGTTTTTTGGTCCAAATTTGAAATGAAAACAAAAGCTCTTTTTGGTATTGACTTGATATCCTTTAGAGGATTCATTGATAGCTAAACATTGAGATGCTATGGAAAGAGAGAGAGAGAGAGAGAGAGAGAGAGAGAGCACTGGTAGTAGTGGTAATAACCAGAGAGACACTCTCACGGTTTGAGGATTTGCATCATTAACTTTACTGTTACACATCAGTGTTATCTATATATACTGTATAGTACTCTATATACTAAATATTTATATATATTTCTAACATTCCGTACATAATATAAAGTACATAATATTCCTATTTATAAAATCAATACAAACTATTGCTTTATTGATGATTGAAAAACAAACTTTTTTCTTCTGTCAATCAAACCGCCAAAAATGCATTTTCAAAGGACTGTTGTATTCATTGACTATGAGTGCTCCGGCACTGGCTTATAAACTTTTTATTGTATAAACTTTTATCATTTTGTCGATTGTCGTCATGATTGCCGAACAAATAAAAGATTTTTTTTCCAATTAAATGAAAAATAATTAAAGTAATCAAAGTTTAATATACTTTTAGTGTCTGTTTTGTCGGCAAAGGTTTAGATCTGAGATGAAGACCCCATACATATTCAATTGAAGACTCCAATCACGTCACTGATCTCATCATCAATGGTATGGACTGAGTCTTTGAAGTCTTCATCTTAGCGTTTCATTTGGGGTTTGAGATTACAATCCAATTACTTTTTCGTGGATTTATTTGTAATGCCAGACAACTAATTAATTATATAAACTATTTCTTCTTCTTCTTCTTCTTCTACTACTTCTACTATCTCTTCTCTAACTACTTCTTGTAGATCACACTATCGATTCTCAATACACAATAAAGAGATCTTTTATATATTGTTTGCCATCAAAACATACATAACTTTTTTATTTCTTATTCAACTTCATTACACAGAAAGAGAGAGAGAGAGAGAGAGAGAGAGAGAGAGAGAGAGAGAGAACACTCGATTGAATCCATAAAACTTAATGAGAATCAGTTGAATAGTTTTATCAATTTTTGTAATTAATTATCATATATACAGTACTACTACTACTTTACATATATTTATATTTGGTTTACTTATAGTTTTATTTGAATGTGTAAAATACTAATTCATTAGAGATTGTGTTTATTATTAAAAGTTAATAAAATATTTTATTAAAGCATTTATTATTATTATAAGTAATTTTAAATTAAATTAAAAAACAAAATTATAAAGTGTTTTCAAGGCATGTATTTACTAATTATATTATAGACACTCGAGTCCTAAAAATATAAGAAAAACACTTGAGGTTTTGTTTAAATAAATTACATATATTTTTTGATAAATAAATTTTTAAATTTTATATACAGTATCACAAAGTTAATGTTATTTTATACTTTTAAAAAATTTACTCAAAATAAATTTCAATTTGAAACAAATATATAAAAAGTACAGTATTTCCATTGTATATGATTTTACTACATATTTATATTTTATATTGTTTGCTTAAAATATTTACTAAACCTTATAAAACATATAAAAAATTAATTTATTTTTGCAATTTGTTTTCTATATAATTAAATAAATAATAGTAAGTATTCAGTATTCAATCAAAATAAGCAATTTATTTATGAAAATTTTTATCTGAATGTAATCTTATATGTTTTGAAAATGTTATTTTCAAGAATATTCACATTTAATTTAATTATTTATTTACATAAAAATAGGTATAATATTTGTATTGACTATAATCACAATAGTCTTCCTGCTGGGACTGGTGGGTGTATCGAAAGCCCATTTGCCAACTGTGCTATTGTTCACGTGTGCCGATCTGTTTCTGTTGGTCACCACATACTACGGCAGTTACAGCACTCGCAATGCAAATATGGGCGCATTTATCATATTTTTGGTCACAACAGTCCTGTCTCTAACATATTCACTAATAATTTGGCGCAAATGTTGTCTATCATCTACCAGTGCCACTACTGAACGTCTTCTAAGGCCTCATCGGCATAACATCTACGACTATGAAGACTATGACACCGATAGCAATAGTAATACTACTATTCAGCCAACGTTTCTATCATTTACGCCAAATTTTAATGACTTTAATGGACAACAACCACAACAACAACAATTACAACCACAAAATGATTGCACTTATTGGACGGTTGAGAGCAATGAATGCAACAAATTGATTGTCGACAGATATGCCGTTTAAAAAAAATTTATATACAATTATTATAAACTTTAAAATCAGCCATTGATTTGTGTGAACAGTCAGTGAGTGAAGAAAAAAAGATGACAACTCCTCACAGCTAACTGTTCTCTGACTCTTAGAAAAAGTTTTTATTGTATACTATAAAAGAGATGAGATATTAATTTAATTTCACAATTTTTTGTTGTTGTTATAACAATTTATTTCATTCATATTCTTTATAGATTTATATGTCATTATAAATATATATATATATTATATTTTTCTCAATTTTCTCGAAAAAAAGTTAAAAGAGATAAACAATAAAAAATAAGTTTTATTTTTACTGTAAAAAGATTTTTTCTCATTTATTTTATTTCCTGTTTTTCACTATATTATTATTATTACTATTATATATATTGTATTATAAGTTATAGCTTTATAAATTGTTTTAGACATTTCTGATGTAATTATTATTAATAATTGCTGTTATTATACATTATTATTATTTTATTGTTGTTTATGTTATAATAAATTTATATTAAAATTGATCATAAAGTGTATTAATTATTTAATTATTTAGTTTTTATTGTATATAAAGATTATTATTTTTAGTTTTATTTACATATAAGATATCTATTTATTATTTTAGTAGTTTTTTATCATTTTGAAAGCAATATTAATAAAATATAACTTAATATTAAATAATAATAGTCTTATATTACACAACAACGACAACTACTACTAAATATAAATAAAGATTTTTTAAAAACTTATTGAATATATCATTAGTTTGATATATACTGTATTTAATATGTTAAACAAACTTATTTCCCAAAATTCTTTCATTCATTTATAACACAAAGAAAAAATAATTTTTTTTAAAAAAGTCATATCAAAAGCATAAAGTCCTTAAATAATCCTTTAATAAATAGCACACAATTTTTCACTCATAAAATAGATATATATTAGAGAGTACTATAAGTGAGTTAATGCTATATTTCCTATTATATACATTTTATACAACAAAATACATGCAATTATTATTTTTTTTTAATTTTTGATTTTCTATAAAGTCATTGGTAATGAAGACATCTATCAAACAAAACAAATTCATTGATAACTTTTCATTTATTTCATTCAGATTTTCTATTAGATCAAAATCCCGGCTAATAATAAAAATAATAATAATAATCAAGACATTGAGTCCATAATTTTTTTTGTATGTGTGTGTGAAGGCATTATTGATTAGGAAAATGAAAAATACAGTATAATTTAGTTGTAAAGTTATATACAGTAAAGACTTTATATATGATTGTTAAGTATATATACTCTCTCTCTATATATATACAGTATTTTTAATGTCGAAATCAATTTTTTTCAGACGTTAACAATATTTTTTTCACATAAAATACTGACTGACTGTTCATTTATTTTTAGTAATAATAAATACAGTATAATATCTATAAAAACTGTTTCATATGTTGTTAGCGTTATATTGAGTGAACCTTAAAAAGTCAAACCAAGTGTGAAGCAAAAGAAGAGAAAAAAGAGAAAAAAGAGTGAATGAAAAAAATCAAAATCACAAAAAAAGTTAAAACAAATCTCTTTGGCTTTAATACTGAATTTTGAAAATAAAAGATTTTTTAATATATATTTTTTCTTATAAAGTATATGAAAAATATAATTTGTTTTGACTCTCTCTCTCTCTCTCTCTCTCTCTCTGTCTGTCTGTCTGTATGTCTGTCTGTCTTTCTTTCTCAACTAACAATAGTATATTATAATAATAAATATATTAAAAACAAGTTGAATTTGATATTGATTTTAATATCAATTCTAAACAATTTATTAGTAATACTGAATATACAGTATATTCTATTGAATATAAGCAAAATATATTAGCGCTTAAAAAGATAGTCTAAATACTATATAACGTATATATCTATTGAATAACTCATTTATTATAATGATATATACTATAGAAACAAACAATATTTTCTTATCTATTAATTTTATTTGACATAAATAAATATGATTTGTTGTTATTATTGTTATAATATATAGAATATATAGCTATATATAGATATTTATTATAATATATGTAAATAAAGTGTTTGCACTAATCTAAAAATTACAAAAAAGTTATACTGTATTTAAATAATATATCAATAAAAAAGATACTGTTATTAAATCTACTATTTAAAATAAATGGCAAATTTTTGATGTTTTATTGGTTTCGACATCGAAATAAACCACATTTATCAAATTATATCATTTTTACAAAAAAACATAGCCATAAAAGACATGTAATGCAATATATATACATAGAAAATACAGTATATCTATAAAAAAGTATTCTTGAAATATGACTAATAAATGCAATTCTTGAAAATAACAAAATATAATTAAATTATTATCAAAAATTTGATGTTTTTTTGGCAAATTAATACACACATAGAGTGCATATAAAATATTAAACTGAGTTCTAATCTAATGTTTAGGTTATGTCAGTGTTTATGACATAGATTTATGAATATTTCTTAGGACGTGATCATCAAAAAAATAATAATATGAGTGAAAGTATTGAAGAGGAAAGTTATCTAATAAAATATAGCACTGTTGAGACAATGACTGATAAGTCTATAGCATATTATGACATTAGACAGTCTAATCATTTGCATTTAGGACATCACGTTTGAACATTTTGTGCGTTTGATAACCAAAATGTCTTCAACGTTAAGTAATAATATATAATAAATATAAAAATACATACATTATTAATATATTGCTGACAATTGCTGAGTAAATGCAAATTAAAGAAATTTGGTTTAAAATGGAAATTTGCCGCAAGAGTTACATAATGTCTAAATAAAATATAATTAAATGTCTTATACTTTTCACTTATATATTATTATAATTATATAAATATATAACTTGAGTTCACTGAATATGATTTAAATGAATTATAAAAGATTAAATGACTTCCAAATGAATAATAATGATCTCAATAACAAATAATTTGAATATTTTGAAAATCCATATAATTTTCACTAAACAGTGCCTCTATTTAACCTCTCTCTCTCTCTCTCTCTCTCTCTCTCTCTCTCTCTCTCTCTCTCTCTCTCTCTCTCTCTCTCTCTCTCTCTCTCTCTCTCTCTCTCTCTCTCTCTCTCTCTCTCTCTCTCTCTCTCTCTCTCTCTCTCTCACTATATTGTACTATAAATCGTAACATTATTTAGTTTGAAATATAATTAGTAAAAATAATACAAAAATCATTAATAACAATTATTATTATTATATTTTTATTGTAATCCCATTTGAAACAAAATATCCCTAAATTTCTCTCTAATATAGATTCTGTATAAATATTCAAATGATTTCTGTTATAAAATTTTTGATATACTGTTATAATAATAACAAACATTAGTTTCACTAAAACTAATTAATATTTATTTTGCAACAATTTATAAGACTCTCATGTTTTCAAATGTTTTAATTTCTATATAGATTTGTTTATAATATAATGAATTTTTTTCCACAATATATTGTAATTATTTTATTGAATTAAATTTATTTGTTTGAAGTATTCGTTTGAAAAATACATTTAAAAATATTTGCGATTTGTTTACTTTGCAGATAAATATCACTATTTGAAAACAAACAATTCATTTATGCAAAATAGTTTCAATTAACAATAAAAATATATTATATTATTATAAAGTAATCAGAAATAATAAATTGTTTGTTGACTATAAAAACATAACAAAATTTGAAAACTAATATCAATTAAAATCAATAAATTTGTCATTTTTATTTAACACATGACAAAATAAATGAAAATTTAAATGCAATAATAAAATAAAAACTAATTAATCACATTTAAAACAATTAAAAAATAATATATAAAATAATTATTTATTCAAAATAGTTTATTATTTATTAAGAAATTGAAACCTAAAAAATAATTATTTTCTAATTAATCAATCATTAATTATATCGCAGTAAATATAAAATGAAATATTGTTTTCAAAAAACACAAAATTTTAAAGTCATTATTCATTTGCAGTTCAATTGGCAAACAATTTACAACAATATAATTATGTAATTAACACATAATTGTATATATATTTAAGTCTCAATTTAATATTAGTTTAATTAGAAAATTACTATTAAATCAATTGATAATTAATCGTAATATCATTTTCACGACATTGAAGTTGACTTTAATCATCAAAAAATAGTCAAATTTAAATAATAAAAACAAATCCAATAAAAATATACATTTTCTATAATATCCTAAATCAATATCAAACTATAATCAAGTGATTATTGAGCTTCTTCTCAAAAATGGTTGGTCTCGTCATTGCTATTATGACTCTCATTGCTGGTGGCGCTGGCATTGTCTCCGTTGCTGTCAATCATTTCCAATGAACTCAATTCAGTGCTCGCATTCATCGATTGGACGTCCTGTTCGGCCAATGGTTTGGTCTCCAGTTCCTCATCTTCGCTCCACTCAATATTGACGGGACCGACGTTATCGTTGTACTCTTTGTTATAAAACTTGTGCGCGCCGTCACATAAGGGAAAGGTTTCTGATCGCCAACACCGACACAGCGACAGCTTTTTGCCTAAAATCAAAACACAAATCATAATTAAAAACAATTCACACTTTTTTAATATTTACAAAATCAATTGAAAAACCCATAAAACAAATAATTAAATTAGAAAAACAACAGAAATAGAAATCAACAAAAAATGTAAAATAAAAAACTTATCGTTAGATTCAAATAAATTTGATTTTTAATTACCATTAAAATTATTTTAATTAATTCAATAGTTGTGTAAATGTATTAAAGATAATATTGAATGACTTTGAATCCAAACAAATGATATCAAAACATAAGTTATTTAAAAAACTTGAAAATCTACGGAAATATTTGTACTTAAATCGCAATATAAATAAAACCTAGACTTTAGAAGACTTTGAGTGATTCCAATCATTGCTATCGAAATCACGATCTGATCCGCAATTATTATTTTCACACTCATTGACAATGTCTTCGTCTTCATCTCTAATACTGGTATTAAAGCTTTGATTGAATGCTTTGGCGTCCAATTGGATCCGTTCGATGTATTGATTCTTGAACTCGGGTTCCGATTGATTCCAACGATTCAATAACTCAGACATTACTTCTTCTTCTTCATTACTATTGAGTAGACTTTTCTCTTTCAGAGCCGACAACTCTTCGTTGGCAAACATATCGAAAGCCATGTCTAAGAGCTTATCGTTGGAAAACACTTCGCAAACCATTTGAGAACAAATTCGTTTGGATTGTCTTGACTTTGATTTTGGCTTTTGTTTTCCGTATTTCTTGATTTCCGATTCGTACCGGAGTTTGTCTTCTTCGGACAATCGGTGATAATATTGTTTCTCTTCGTACGACAACTTCTTCCAATTTTTCGCACATTTTTTGGCAAATTCGGCAAAAACTAGACGATCTTCGGCCAAATGACACAAACGGTTGGTCTCGCGATCGGCGCAATCGGTGACAAAATAAGAGTACGCCGACCGGCGACCACGGGGTCGGTCTTCACTATCGCTGATATCATTGATTTTGTCGATTGTTTTAATAGAGGAAACACTGAGAAACTCTTGATTATCGTCTAATAATTTGCATTTGTTTAACAAAATATTTTAAAATAGTTTTATCGATAATATATTTAAAGTGAATCAAAAATAATTAAACAATTGTTCAAAAAATCATAATAAATATAACCAAAAAATCATTTAAAAAAATAAAAATAATTCAAATAAATATCAAAAAACAATTGAAAACACTTTAAAGGAAACTATTTATTAAGTCATGAATGCATTGAATACTAAACAAAAAAAATATATTATTTTCTTCTATAAAAACTACAATTAATTATAAAAATAAGGAAATTATAATTATTTGAAACAAAAAATATTTAGATATAAATAAATTAATATAAATCTTGATTTCTATCAAAACTTTGAAAAATAAAATACAAAAAAGTATATAAAAATTGTTTAAATTAGTCGAAAGTCTATTATTTTTTTATATACAGTATATATCTAATCAAATATAAATCAAATTATAAATAATTTAAGAAATTTATAAGTAGTAAAAAAGTGAAGTATTTATCATCCGATTAAGTAATGATTTTTTTAGTTTAAATTAAGCAAAAAATATAATAACTATTAATAGTAATCATTTGAAACACAATAACCCTTAAGTTATTTATCGCTAATTATAGGAGATTGACATCAATTTTATATAATATGTGACTAAAATCACGTCTAAATTTTAATTAACTTTTTATATATAATAAACTCCTATTTAATAATGAATACTTGGATATAAAGCATATGTAGTCTAAGATTATATATTAATGACATAAATATCATATAAATAAGGAAAATGACAACTTTTGCTGTATTTTTATATCGCATACAAAATAATAATAAAATTAAATTACAATTCATTTAATAATAATATGAATGAAAATACCAAATAATAAACTTTTTTAAAAAACAATATTAAAGTCAATGCAAACAAACAATTAATACAATCAATGAGTAATTAACTACCCGTGCATTGAGTGGACAGTTAGCAGTAGTAGTGGACAAACCTTTGTCGAGTTGGTGTCCTTTGTAGACGTGTTTGACTTTGTCTTTATGTTTATCAATGTTTGGATTAATCTTCGGCGACAAAGACTTATTGGACTGTTGTCTCAGTTGATAATGAATGTAAGCCACATAAGCCACGGACACTGACGTTATAATCCATGGCATCAGTGGCCGAATGTCTGACCACTGGACAGACATATTCATCGGATTGTTATTATTAATAATAACTGTCTATTAATCAGAGGATTCAATGACTGATTGATTGATTGATTCAAACGTTTGTTTTTCTCAATGTTTTCTCTAATATAAAGTGTTGTTTCAATGCATTGAAAAACAGTGCCAAAAGTCAATGTCAACTCACAGATGACGTCATTATATTTATTGCATTAATATTAATACAAACTCTGCTTTTTCTACACAAATAACGCTCAAAATTATTCATTTGTAAACAAATTTCAATACTTTTAATATTTACTAATAATATAATTAATTAGAAAAATAATTAGAAATATTTATTACACTTATGTTGTGTTTTATAATTATGTTTAATAAATAATTGTCTATTAATTACTGTCTTTTAATAATTTCAATCATAAATAGAGTATTTTTTGAAGTTTTATTTTTTAATTAAATATAGTTTTTTTGTTTTATATTTTAATCAATATTAATTATAAATTCAATTTAATTGATAACAGTTTTAATAATTTTTAATTACAAATAAAACATTAGTTAATACAACAAAAACAATGAGTTTTGAAAACTATGTAAAAGATATAAATAAATAAATATTTACAACATTGAAAAATGATATAACTATTTATTTATTTATTTAATTAATTAATTAATTGAATTAATTGAATACAGTTATACTGAATACATTTTGATAGATTGATTGCAAATATAAATTTTCATTTTATTATAATTAGATTTTATTTTATTAGAAACTAATATTTCTAAACAAATCTAATTTCAATTTTTAAATTCAATATTTAAGACAAGAATATATTCAATTATAGACTGTTTCTAATGTAATAAATACTGTATTTATGTAATACAATACATACCTTATATCAATATAATATACATGTCTTACATGTCATACATTTGACTAATAGATGTCATATAATATGTAATATTTTTTGCTAAACACTTAAGCAATTCGTTTGAAATAATACAGTGAAACACAATAATAATAATACTGTAGTTATGTTTTTTAGGTACACTTTTACCTTTAAGACAATGATTTGAATGAAGCTATTTTGGGAATATCTGTATTTAAATACCACTTAATATAATATAATGAAATGCCAACGGGTTTTATCACTTGAATATGTGTTTAATGATTAATCAAAGGGAGTGTTCAATAATTTTTGCTATTTTTTAATATCTAATGTTTTTTTATTCTATAAATTGCTAAAAATAGTAAATTTATGAAAACTATTTTAGAATTTATTGATATATATATTAATATTTCCAACATTTTCTACACTTTATATATACTGTTATTTTATTATTTTTTTTTAAATACAAGAATATATGTTTAATATTCTCAAAACTTAATATAATATAACAAAATATTTAAAGAATTCATTGAATTTCATGTTTAAATTGATATTAGATTTTTTGACTTTAGGGTTAATACCTTTTTTAGAAATGACACAAAAAATGTTTATAAATTTTTAATAATTTTGTTATCAAACTATGATATTATTATTATTATGTTGTCAAATGATAATAATAATTATAATTATTAGTGTCATCATTATTAATTACTTGAATCATTATAATCATAGTTTTGGCTTAAGTTTCAAGTATCAAATTGGGTTTTTTATTTGCTATTAAATTATTGATTTGAAACGTGTAAAGACATGCAAGTTATGTCAATAAAGTTAATATTGAAGGCATTGTCTTCAATATTTTGTTTAGACATTATATACAATATATTTTGTGTATTATATAATAATTTGATAAAATTATACATAAAGTTATAATGATTTTTAGATGTCTCTGATAAATGTCAATTTGTTGATTTTTATTTGCCTAAAATTCTTATGCAATGATATATTTATTTATTGAAGTTATTTAAGTAATAAAAATATCATTAATAAAATTGTTGACTAAATAATTATTATTACATAATCTAAAAACAAAATATTAATTTTCAAAATTGCTTTAAATTACAAAATATATTATTATTATTATTATTATGTAAACGATTTGGTTTTTAGAAAAAGCATCAAGTACAGCCATTATATGATTAAAAAAATATAATACTCGAGATAATAATATGTTTATAAATGTCATCTCAAATGATAAATTGCTTTATTATTATATAAATAAATAAAGAGTTATAAAAATATTGATAAATAATAAATTTATAAAAACATTATAAGTGTTATAAATAGATAATGAATTGAATTATCATTTATTACTAAATATGATAAATAAATAAACAGATTATATGAATTCAATTATTAAAATATAATTGAAATAAAATTGTTATTATTTGTGATGAAAAATGAAAAACAATAAGAATTTATTTATTAATACAATTAAATTCAATAAATTCTATTATAATATTTCATTCAAAACACGACATTTCAATGCAGTTATAAAAATACAATAATTATTATAAGTATTAATATTTATTATAAAAATATAATATAAAAGAAATATTCATTTATAATCCAATATAATAAGCAATGATTGCATTGAATATTCGAAAACAGCTATGAATTTGCTTTATTTTAAGTACAAATATAAAGACATAAAAAATGAAAATATATTAATAAATAAATGTTTTTATATAAGAAAAGCAGATAATGTATCCATTAGTGAAATGTTAGCAAACAAATTGACATTCAAGACAAGTGTAATGCTATTGAATATTACATAATATTATATAATATTATATAATTTGCAATAAGAATAATATACTGTTTTTGTGCAAAATATATGAATAAATGAAAAGAAATGTATAAACATTTGCATCAATTATACAGTATATGAAAGATATCTGAGTCACTGAGTGAGTGAGTGAGTGAGTGAGTGAGAGAGAGAGTGAGTGAGTGAGAGATATATTATATATATATTGTGTGTCTATTATATAATTAGTTTTCTTAATGCTTTCTTTTTTCATCTTCTTTTGGCACAAAGTTTTTGATGAAATTTGATAAAAGCCCAGCAATTGAATCCTCAGTAGTAGTTGTTGTTGTAGTACTACTACTACTAGTAGTAGTAGTGGTCTTATATGAGATAACTATCAGATATTTTCCAGTACTGTACGAATCAGTCCTCTCTCTCTCTCGTAATAATAATGCCATATATACTGAATATCCCATCTATTTATGGCATAAACCAATTTTTGACAATTATATTTATTGTACTTTATATACAACGATATTGACTGAAAAATTCATATTTTTGTAAGAAAAACAATACATTTATTATTTCTGTTATTATTTCTATTAATAGCATAACATAAATATATTTCCAGAGATAACTAATATTTTGTCATTTTCTAAAAGCAAACTAAAGTACTTTCAGTCAAAACATTAAATTCAAGTCAAAAATCGCTGCCAAATAGATAATACAGTAATAGACTAATGAATACAATTGACATCTCTTTTACAATCCAATTGTAATTACAATTATGTCATAAAAATTCTTTTGTTTTTTACAATTTATTGATATTTATTTCCAACAATTTCTAATACAAATAATAATCTATTCTTTTATTCATTTAATTGAAGGCATAGTTATGTCATAATAATAACATACCTTTCAATAATAACAATTTAATAATATTCTATGGGTTGTTGTTCAACAAAATGCAGTCTTAAATGTGTTTAACTTTAATTTTATTTTTTGTCAACTACTATGGGAACCGGTATGTCACGAGTGGATGTAGTGTCACAAGTGGTACAATCCATAAAACCAATATAATCGACAAAATAGTCAAAATAATGATGAAATTTAAACACCGTTTCATTCAATTGTAGTCAAACACCCTTTTTTCATCTAAAATCTGATTCATGAGATCATCATTTTAATATTAAACTAATTATACAAAAGTTATTAAAATTAATAATAAATTTTCAATAAAAATTTGCATTAATTTAATTAAAAATAAAAAAATACATAAATATTTAAATATTTAAATACAGAATAACTTAACTTAATTTCATAAATATATTGTCATTAAAATTCAGTAAAAATGTTTGTGAATTCAATGAATGCAAAAAATCATTATTTAACTAACATTTGACTACATTTGACTACATTACTAGCATAATAGCATAATTGCATACATGTGCCGTAGAATAATAATAACAGTAAATCTACTTTTATTTTTTAATAAATTTTTTCAACCAATTATTCAGATTTTTTTTCTGAACACACAATACATAAAAATGTAGTATTTTTGAAATTAAACAAATAACTAATGAATATTTCATGATTTTTTGAGTGAAAACATAATGTTTGTTCTGTAATATCGTTATTATTGAAGAGAATTTGATTGAATCCACAAAATTACTGTTACTGTAGAATACTTTGTATTCAATTGTACAAAAACGACAAATAATAATAGAGTAAAACCTTTTTGTGTACATTATATACACAAAAGTGATTCAATTAACTAATAAAAAGGTTTCTCTCGTTTTTATGATTATTTGTATGCAATTTTCACACAGACATACATAGAAACAGTGGTATCGGAAATAATTTACATAATAAGTGAAGAAAACTAAGAAATTTTGTTTTTCTTAAATTCTCATTAATTGTCAATCAGTTTAAGAGTTAAAACAGAGATTATAGTATTTATAAAAAACTACAGTCTTTAACAAACATATTATACGGGTTTTATTTTTTTTGCTATTAATACTGTATAATACAGTACTTTATATTATATTATATTATAGTTTATACAGTATTTGATAAACAAAAGGGATTTATTATAGAAAAAGCAATTAAAAAATAGTTATTTTTCACAATTAATAAGATTTAGACCTTATTTTAACCGACGATGAATGCAATATCTATTAGTATTGATGTCTAAATTGCAATTCTATTAATTAAATTCAAAATTTGTGTATAAAAACCGTAACAACAACTCAATTGCAAAATATTTTTTATTTCGATTAACTTTCGATAAAACACTTAATTGTTTTAATAAAAAATTCTTGATTTTTTCAAAAACAAAA